CTGCCTCCCAAGTGCTGGGATTAAAGGCATGCGCCACCACGCCCAGCTTCTAAAGTTATTTTTAGTTCCATACCATGCTACTTTTTTTTGTAGGGGTTTATAATTTTATGTATTTATTTGGGGGGAGGAGAAAGGGTCTCCCTGTAGCCCCAGCTGGCCTGGAACTCACTATGTAGACCAGGCTGGCCTTGAACTCACAGAGATCTGCCTGCCTCTGCCTCCTGAGTCCTGAGATTAAAGGCATGTGCCACCATGCCCGGCTAAGAGGGTTTATACTTTTTGTGCATTTTTTGCTGTGTATGAATGTTCTGCCTGTATGTATGTCATGCAATGCCCACAAAGGCCAGAAGAGGATGTTGGATCACCGAAACGAGTTACAGATGGCTGTGATCCACCATGTGGGTGCTGAGAACCAAACCCGGGTCCTCTGTAAGAGCAACCAGTGCTCTTAACTGCTGAGCCATCTCTCCAGTCCCCCTCCTTTCTTTTTTTTTTTTTTTAAACTTTTTGTTCAATTCATTTACTTTTAAATACTTCTGATAAGGTAGCCATGTAACCATCATCCAAAATGAAGAAACTGACCATTGCCAATGTCTTAGAAACTCTTTGAGTCTTGCTTTCTGATCACACAGCTCACTCCTCTCAATCATGACTTTTCTGTGCATTGTAAAAATGGTGACCTATATATTAATAAAAATATTTTGCTAAATTTCACCTGCTTTTGAACAATGTATAAGTGGAATCATAATGTATGCATTTTATTTCTCTCTCTCTCTATATATATATTTGTGTGTGTGTGTGTGTGTGTGTGTGTGTGTGTGTGTGTGTGTTTTCTCCCTGTAGCCCCAGCTGTCCTGGAACTCACTTTGCAGACCAGGCTGGCCTTGAACTCACAAAGATCCACCTGCCTCTGCCTCCCAAGTGCTGGGATTAAAGGCATGTGCCACCACACCCAGCTTTCTTAATATATTTTTAATGTACATTAATACATTATCTCTGGGGGACCATATAATGGGCTACTTTCAGGAATTGGTTCTCTCCTACCATGTGGATCCCAGGAATTAAACTGAGTTCATCCACTGAGGTTGGCAGCAAGGCCGTAACTTGCTGAGCTATCTCACTGGCCCTTTTGGTCATTGTTTTGAGATAGGGTCTCACTGTGAGGCCTCTAATACACGACAGTGTTGCCTGCTTCCCCAGCACTGGGATTACAGATGTGAGTCACCATGCACAAATTAGGAGTAACCAGGGAGACCTGGAACTTGCTGGTCTGGAACTTGCTATGTAGACCAAATTGGCCTAGATCTCAGAGATCCACCTGCTTCTGCCTCCTGAGTACTGAGATTAAAGATGTGCACCACTATACCCGTCCTTTTGTGTGTGATATATGTGTGTGTGTGTCTTTTTGAGACAGAGTCTCCCTGTAGCCTCAGCTGGCCTGGAACTCAGTATGTAGACCAGGCTGGCCTTGAACTCACAGAGACCTGGCTGCCTCTGCCTCCCAAGTGCTGGGACTAAAGGCGTGTGCCACCAACCTGGCTTATCTATATTCTTTTTGTTTGTTTGAAGATTTATGTGTATGAGTGTTTTGCTTGCATGCATATAAGTACAACATATGTATGTCTGGTGCCTGCGGAGGCCAGCAAAGGGCATCAGATATCTTGAAACTGAAATTATAGATGTTGTGAGCTACCGTGTGGGAGTTGGACCTGAGCCCGTGTCCTCTACAAGAGTAGCCACTGCTATTAACTGCTGAGCTATCTCTCCAGCCCCTATTATCGATATTCTTCTCACCACAAATGAGTTTTGCTTATTTTTTAAAAAATTACTTTTACTAAATTAAAAAATATTTAAAATTTTATATGTACGCATGTGTTGCCTGCATGTATGTAAATGCATCATGTGTACGCAATGCCCGCAGAGGCCAGAAGAGGGTGGAACTGGAGTTCTGGATAGTTGTTAGCCACCATGTGGGTGCTGGGAATCAAACCCAGGTCCTTGGGAAGTGTTCTCGACCACTGAGCCATCGCTCAAGCCCCTTTACTAAATTTTTTAGGTTAGAATAAAGTAACAGGTTTCATCATGATACTTTCATACATGTGTCATT